CTGATATATAAGTGCTTACCTGGAATAGCATGATTATTTGTAGGAAAGGTAAAGAAGAACATTATAACCTGGACTGTGAACCACCTGAATAAATACTATTCTGGAGAGTAAAATTAAACATTACCTTGAATGACTTTAGCCACAGAAACAACTTCCACTTCCTCAGGATGTGAATTCATTTTGTCAAATATTAGGTATGCTTTTATACTGTTTCCATTGGATCATTAATTACTTTCAAGAGATTGCTCTATTCACACATGTTAAGACATTTTCATGATTGAAGATGACTGGAAAGTCATTTCAGTGGTTGAAAGTTCAGGCAGAAAATGTTGTGTCACATTTTTCTGATGAAACAATTCTCTTTGTTATCAAGATGGATGCATCTTCTGCTATTGCTGTTGTCTTAAATCAAGCTGGTAAACCAGTTGCTTTCTTTTCAAGGACTTTAAATGCTACTGAACAAAAACACTCGATAACAAGAAGAGGCATATATCCTGCACTGGGAGCTCTGCACAAGTAGAGACACAAGTTTATCCTTCTAATGGATCAGGAATTAGTGGCTTTCTGAGCAGTCTAGAAAAATTCAGAATAAAAAAAATTTAAAGATGGAGGATTGAGCCTGCTTGCTACAGCTTTGACATGAAGTATTATCCTTGGGAGGTTAAACATTACTGCAGATCGTTTTATTTTTTTTCTTGGGGTTATGCCAATGATATTGGTATTTATAGTTGGTATAAGAATGATCTTGAACAAAAATCAACATCCTCTACCAAGTACTGAAAACCTTTCCGAAACAGAAACTATGATCTGGAATTGGAATGAAGGTAGTTAAATACCCTGAATCCATCATAAAATTTCAAGATATGGAATTAATAAATAATAAACACTTCAAATACACCAATATATAACAAATTTAATATAGGAGATAAAGAAATTTAACATAGAATAGACTGCACTAGAGTACAAATTGCCAAAAAAAAAAAAAAACATTAACCTGAAAACATGAGTCATGTTCCTAAATAGAATTCCCAAATAGATTAATGATTAAAAATGGCTTCAAGTAAATGAAACCTGTAGGTTTTAGCAAGGATCATCTTGCTTTGAACCTCGTGGAAAAACACTACAAAATCACAGTACCAAATAACAGAAACTACATTACTTGAGGACTTTCACCAGCAGCAACAATTAAAATGGATAGTACATGTCACTCAAAGAGAAAATAAGGTCATAATCAATAGTTCCACACTACTTCAAACAAAATGTTAGGAAGGAAGCCCCCATCATTACTGGAAAGAGCGATAACAGTTAACAGAATAATTTTATAAATTTATAAATTTCAACTGAAAGCAGTACTGGCTGCTTGGTCAGTGAATGCCAAATGTTTCCTTATAGGGAAACAGCTAATATTACTATTATTATTTGGCATATTCTTCTGCTGTTTGTTAAATTTCTCAACTGTCATCCATGTATTATACTGTTGTATCTTTAAAGAGGTTACAAACAGACAAAGGTGGTGCTCAAGTAAAGGAATAGCAACATGCGTGTAGATGAAAGAAGAAAGGTTTGGTGTAAAAGAGAATACACTACTGAAAGACAGGGAATTAGGTAGCAGGCTAGTAATTCCCGAAGCAAGCCCCCAGACGTATCCTGTGCTCACTATATCTACTGATATAGTCAGTCCACAATAGGCAATAGGGAGAGTGGGACATTCCATTACAACATATATAATATACTTTTTTTTAGAACAAGGAAACTATCGTTCTCTGTGCCCTATTACTGCTGAGTGCAAACCACAATTTCATTGACATAGTTTATTACAGCTGATCAAGGTAACTGTACCGTTAGAAAGGCTCAGTGTTGATTTTAATTGTGATCAACTTCAACTTTATTTTTTTTAATGCTACATCTCTTCAGAATGGAGGTCATTATGTCTCTCCACTCTGCTTTATTATCTGTGAATTGCCATGCATTCTTGAGAAAATAATTTCCAATTACCTTCTCCACAGTTTATAATTCAGAATGTTTTTCTATTGGACTGGCTGCCACCCAAGGCTATAGAGTCCAGTCTACTCGGTTATTTAACCCACAGCTGGGGGTAAGAGACTGGTTCATACTTTAACAAGAGCATTTGAGCAAAAGTGAATGTAACAGACAAATCCAGAATTTGAACCCAGCTCACCAATTTCATTTTCTGCACCAATAACCATTACACTACCCATATGTCTTTCAACTAATACTTACTTAACATAATAGATCAGTTTTCTTGCCTTGATTTTGCTTGTCCAGATATAACATTTTGAACTGTGATTCGGTGTTTCAGTCAATTATTTGTTGTCTGAGTGTCCTATTTGAAGAGAGTTACTTTATTCATGTCAACAGAAAGTAGAAACTGTATAAACATGGAAGTTACATTATCTGAATGACTTATTATAATCCTCCTGGCTGTGAGAACAGTATAATAAAATTATATAGCAAGCACTAAACCTTACTCTCAAATTACCATGCTTGTCTAGGATCCAGAGTTTGTCCTCAAGGATAAATCATTTAATATACACTCCGCTGTTCCATATGAACAATTTTGAAAACTAATCAACTAGTAGATGCCTTATTCTGACATTGTTTTCCACATCTGGAGCGCTGTCCTTTTCAGGTGTTATGTCCAACAATCAAAGTATGACACAATTGTTGAAGAAGCAGAATGATTTGAGGTAAATTTTCTTTATAGCTATATTTGTTTTCATCATGGCAAGGAAAAGATATCATTCAAAAATTTATCCCAAGCAGATCATTTCGAAAAAATAGCCTGTCCAAAATTCAGAAACTGAGTCTGAACTCCTGACAACTTGAACGCATCACAAAACAATATCAGTCATGATGAGTTTTCAAACCAAAAGGCAGTACAAAATGGAGTTGAATCTATTGCTCCTGTGGGTGTGTCATTGATTCCTCAACCACAAGGGATACTCATTGTCTTGATAATTAGGCTCCATTACGCCAATCTGAGTCTATAAACAAGCCACCTAACCATGTAAGTGGATGAGTTTCATGATGTATTGCTGTACTTGCCTTATTCATTGTAGATACTAAGCTGAGGTTTTCTCTTCTTTTTTTTTAATTTTATGCTGATAATTTTATTTGGCAGAGGAATATCTTGCAATTTTGTTTATTATTTGTTATGCCCTCTTCCACATTGTAATGACACACTCAGATATACAGCAGAGTATTACTAAAATCATGGCTGACAAAAATTTCTATATACTTTACTGTTTTCTTGTGGCAGGTTGGTGGACTTTGCTTTATACAGGAAGCCTACATTGATTACTGTCATGTCTGCCACCATGTTCCTTGCTGAATAAAACCTAATAAACAAATTCAGGTTCTACCACACTTTTTTGTTATGCATACCTAAGCTAATGTTAATTTCATAAATCAAGCATGATAAGAGATTCAAAATAATATATCATAATAAAATAGAACAATTACAACAAGATACTATAATAGACATTATGTCATAGATAAAAGATTGGTTCCTAGAATCAATTTTAGTCAATTTGGTATATGGCTTCTTTCTTTCCATATTGAGTCAAACACTTTATGGATTCTCTTTGGCATATCCAAATTGCATGCAGCACAACTCTTGTGCTTTAGTTCTATTATTAAATAAAAACATATAAAACATTGTTTTATCTTTGAGTTGACTGTAGTTAACTGAAACCATAGATAAAGTAGGATCATTTTGTATTTACATTATGTCAAATTTTATGATAGTCTAGCAGACGTTAAAACATTTCACTAGACATACATGCGTCAATAACGCTATAAGTAGAAGTAACCACTTTTCAGTTTTTGGTCATGTGTAAAAAGAAAAAAAAACTGGGAGCATGCATACTGTAAATTCCAAAAGGCTATCTCTTTTTTAGTTTGGGCCGAAATCGAGATAGGATGCTAAAATTAGTGCTCCAAGCAGTAATTGCACATGGCTTAAATTATGCACATCACTTGCTCTCTAATTCGCCAACAGAATAAGTTCAACTTTTTCTTCATTCTTTTTACAGAGACAATCTTAAGAACATTCCTGGAATTTTCACTTTCTTTCAGAACCAGCTTTTCGAAATTTTCTCTACACAAAAAATGTTCCTGATAGAATAAATATTTCTATCTCATTTTTGTTTCAATCTTTGTTTGTCTATTTTCTCAGTCAAATTTAACATTTTTAGTTTTTGTAATCTTGATTTTTTGTCACCATAACAAAAATTATAAATTCATGAAAAAAGCTTCAACAACAACAATACCATTTTTGTCATCACAATAAAAACTATAAATCTATTTCAGGATGAATTTATAGTTTTATTATAACTAGAAATAACAGAGACTTCTCTTATTGAAGGTTTTCTCATGAATTTATAACTTATATGTTAATTTTTAATTTCATCCAAAATTTACTAATGTAAAAAAATAAATTATGGTTAAAACAAGTAACATTGTGTTTGTTGTCAAGGTATATATATTTATTTTAGTAGTCAATATTCAAGTAGTGATACTAACTGAATCTCAACAACTTACTCTTACAAAAGTTTTGTTTGTATTTATTTTCTTCAGTTTTGGATGTTTCTTGACAACATCCTTCTCCTTGAATTATCCACAAATTTATTTGATTCATTCTTGGACATTCCCAAAAGGAGATTACACCAATCTATAAAAGAGCATTTTTTTTATTGATTGATTGTTTTGTACAGCTTATCAAGACTTTGCAGGTTATTTAAAGCCAGAAAATATTTTTACATTGCAAGAATCTCTCTTTTTTTTTATTTGGAGATATTTAGGGTTTAGCAATACAAGTATTACTAATTAACCCATAGGTGGGGGAGAAGAGGTGGATTCATACATTTTCCAAGGGTATTTGTGCATAAGTAAATATAACAAACCCAATAACAATTGTAATTCGGCTCTCCAATTAATAATTTTGAACCATTATCCATTTCCCCAACTGCACATCGAAGCTTACAGCACCTAGTATCCCCAAGTGGTCACCAATTTGGTACTGACCAGGCTCAACATTGCTTAACTTCTGTGATTGTACAGGAAGTGGTGTTTTAACATAATGCAGCCATAAGCCTAAAAAGAATATTTTCAGTTACTGAAGCTAAAATAACAATGGTCATTTCTTTTTTTCTCTAATATAATCTAATGAGAAGTGTGTTGTCTAAAAGAGTGAATGTGCAAAATTTGAGATGTCAAAGAGTGTCCAGAGGCTATTCTTAAAGAAACTCATAGACAACGCCCAAAGGTTTATAACACATTATTCACAAAACCCTTCATCTTGGATTCTTTTTAGAGGAGGGAGGGCAAAAGAAAAAGAAAGAAAGAAAGAAAAATAAGAGGATGTCCACTTCACATTTATGCATCTTACTCTTTGACTTGCAAATCTTCTCACATAAACACAAAAAAAAAACAAAAAAAACCTAAAGTCCCCAAGTTGGCAGAAGCATAACATTACAATATTTTTCCAGTGGAATTTTGATCAAGTTACAATCACAGAAAAGACATTGAATGTTATCAGCTCTTTATAAGAAATTAAATTCACTAAACAAAAATAAAAGCTGAAAATAGAATAAATATCTCTTTCGTTTGAATGTTTATATAATCAGAGAAAGAATCATATTTCCAATATTGTCTTTCTGCTAATACAGATAAAAGTGAATACCATGTGAACACATCTGCCTTCAGCGATAAAACTCAAAATCTTTCTGTCTAAGTTTCTATTTAAACATTTTTCCCTTTCAGTTTTTTTTTTTTTTCTGTTTATTGCCTGATGCTTCATTTGCTTTTATTTTTGTTGTTGTTGTTGCCTGTATTTTGATTCAGGTTTGATTTTACTGCAGTCGCACTGCTCACTGAATATGTAACATGATGATGACAGTGAATTTATCTATTATCTATGTTGGTTTTTTTTTATGGACACGTTTGGGATTTTTTAAAATATGCATAATTCTCTTGTCCATGTTCAACAAATGTTAAAATTATAGAAATAATTAATTCATAAGATCCTTTCAAAATACTCACACGATATTTTGAATATGGAGAAATTGCATATAGAGATTCTTGCAAATAGAGTAATTCTGTACACACACATGTATACATATGCACACACATCTCTCTCTCTCTCTACATATATATATATATATATATATATATATAAATCATAAATCTTTTGTTATACACACCAAACTATACTACAAACACACAAACAAATATATATCTATATATGTGTGTGTGTGTGTGTGTGTGTATCTCAGTTTATTTAAAAAACATATGAAATGTAAAAAAAAATATAATTTGTTGTGTCCTTTAAGGCATAACACTTACAATTTTTTTAAATGAAACTTTTTTGTCCGATCTTTTGTCACAGACGAACTAGAATGATTGGAACAAAACAGAAGTGAGCAAGAAGCATAACTTTGGCATAAATTCCTCTCAAAATATAAAATTATCACTTAAATTCTTTCATGTGACAAGGTTCTAATGATAACATTTTAATGGGAGAAACTGGAGGGAGTGAAAAAGGAGAAAAATATTTTTTCAAAATTAACAGACAAAAAAATTGAATATTTAATGTGTATGTATTCAATAAAGATCTTTGAAAAATATTTCAAGGGAAATGTTACTCGTCACCCCAAATAAAAGGATAAACTAATCTCCATCTGACTAAAAACAAAAATATAAGAAAATACATTAGAGATAATTCAAAAGATTTCTGTAAGAGAAATAAAAAAGTGCCATGACAAATGATTCTGAATAAAGGTATCAAGTGCAATGACATACCATCTGTTTAAAAAATGATAGAGATAATTAATTCTAAACATCTTACAAGAGAAATAAATTATATACATACACATACATATTATATATATATATATATATATATATATACACGTTTATTATTTATAACTTATATGTTCATTTTTTAATTTTATCTGAAATTTACTTATCTAAAAAAATAAATTATGGTAAAAAAATAACATTGTGTTTGTTGTCAAGGTATATATATTTATTTTAGTAGTCAATATTCAAGTAGTGATACTAACTGAATCTCGACAACTTACTCTTACAAAAGTTTTGCTTGTATTTATTTTTTTCAGTTTTGGATGTTTCTTGACAACATCCTTCTCCTTGAACTATCCACAGATTTATTTGATTCATTCTTGGAAATTTCCAAAAGGAGATTACACTAATCTATAAAAGAAAGTTTTTTTATTGATTGATTTGTTTTGTTCAGCTTATCAACCCTTTGCAGGTTATTTAAAGCCAGGAAATATTTTTAGATTGTAAGAATCTCTCTTTTCTTTATTTGTAGTTAACTATTGTAGAAATTATACAGCAAAGATTTATTTCTACTGCATATAATAATATTGAGAATCAAAATATATATGATTTTTATTCAAAAGGAGAAATATAGGACTTGAACAGGACATCTTCCTGAAATTGTATTTCATACTATAAAAAGTTGATGTTATATATATATATATATATATATATATATATATATGAATTGGGATCAAATCAACATGCAGAAAATCACATTCATACTTACAAATATGTATTATCATTCACATTCCAAGTAGGCAAACTAGAATTATGATACATACATAAAGCAATATTTATTTTTTTTGGTGTTAGGCTTGGAATACATTCATTTGTGGGGAGCTTCAAAAGGATGCATTGTCTTGCCTTGACATAAATTATACTAACACTACTTAACAAATCAAATGCAAGTGAAGCCTGCTCAACCAATGCAAATCAAACAACACAAAAATAAAAATACCAGAATTTCTTTTATCTTTCTAGCCCATTCTCTAATGAAGCTGTAAGGAAAGTGAAACATGCTAGATTTATAAACTTTTCTTATTTGTTCTTTTTCCTATCATATATATATATATATATATATATATATATATATATATATATATTATATGGATAAAGACAAAAGGAAAATTATCTTAGCTGACGTGTTACATTCCCAAAGGGACTTTATTAAGGCAAATGCAAGGATTTTATTTTGTAACAAGTATTTATATACAAGAACAGAAATGTTATTGGTTTTTTAAAATTTAAGAACACTCATTAATATTCATCAGTTTACCCAAGAAGTTGAGACAAGTTATGGAGGATGCCAAGTGATACAATTCAATATCTAATAAATGAAAGTGAGTAAATGATATTACTGATTTTTTTTTTTAATGAAAATTAGTATTTAAATTATTCTTCTTTGGAATTAATTTATGTGATATATATTTTAAATGACATGAGTTTATGAATTTAAATATTTTTTTTTAATTTTATAACCTTTCTATAGTAATGTATCTTGGCTTGGGAAAGGAGTAATTCTTTCAGGAATGGAGATATTGGGAAAATCTGGAGCACAGATTTATATTTTGATAAGATTCAATAGTGGCACTCTTGAGAATTTTCCATCTGAGTAAGTTACTTTCTCTTTTAATAAGTGTGGAATTCTTTAGATCAAATTTGTGGTTGAATTTATTTCCATGTATAACTAATGCATTTGATAAACTGTTGTGTATAAGATCTATTTTGTGTTCATAGGTAGATTTTTTAAATTTCTGCAAGTTTTTCCAATGTATTCTGAGGAGTAGTTCTGGCAATTTATTTTATATACGCCTACTTCAGAATTATTACTGTGATGGGTATTTTTGGTTCTTATCAGAACTATAATAGATTTGGATGTGGTTACAATTATTTTGTGAATAAAATAATAATGATATTGGAGGTTTTTGAAAGTGTTTTTTATGTATATTTCTTCTTTGGGTAAGTATTGAGGGCTGCAAATTCTTAGTGCTCTTGAGTAGAATCCTATAATAATTCCTGATTTGTTACAGAAGTGGGAATAAAATATAATAAAATGATAGGGTCAGAAACAAACGGAAAATGTTTATAAATGTAATGTTTTGCTTTTATTTAAGCTTCAGCATAAATGAGAATAGGAAATTTGGTTATTTTTTATTTTTGTATTGTTTGTTTTTCATTGGTTAAGTAGACCTCACATGTATTTGTCTTGTCAGCATTCATGTGTATAAAAATTCTTGTGTATTTGTGTATCATAATTCTAGTTGTTCTGTATGGAATTTGGTTGATAATGTGTGTTCATCTAATGGGCATTTTTATTTCTGTCTGCTAATGTCCGTATGTTGATTTAGGGATGTTTTGTGTGTGAGTGAAAGAATTTAGGTTACACTGGTTGATTCTTGTATCTATACAGATCTTAGATTCTTTAAGTACAGATTTTATAAAAATTTGGTGATATAATAAAGTGTGTTTGGAGTGAGTTTATTTTTAATTAAATTGATATCCATATTTGATCCCAAAAGTCAAATTTTTTTTCATATTTCCAGCTTTCAAATTATACATGTATTTATGCATCAAAATATGTTCCATTATTCTTATTGTCTGTTGCCATTGCTGTGCCAGAAGCTCATTTCAACACTTACAGCATTTGGCTGGTTTATCTCATCCATAGTGTTGAACCTCTGGTCATGCAGGAAATGAGTCATGGCTTGGAAAAGTTATTAATCTGATGGTACAAGGGCTGGTATGTGCTAGTGCACTGTCATGCTGTAGGAGTGTGCATCTTCAAGTGACCAATGCCTGGTATTGGGCATTCAATGCATCATATACTTGATGTAGTTGTTGGGGGGGAAAGCATGAGCATCTGAGGCTAGTTCAAAATGCAACACCCCCTTGAATTTCCACCAAACACAAAATGTAACCTTCTGTTCAAAACACCTTTGTTTGACAACAGGTTCTGAAGCCTAGCTGGAATGAATCCACTGATTTCTATTATTAGAATTACAAAAACAGACCAATTAGTTACAATTCAATGCCAAAAACTGGCATCTTGAGGATTTGTCAGTAGCTGTTTGCAAATGTTAACATGTTACTGAGCTGAGTCATTGGTCATTTCATGAGGAACTTTTTGATAGCATCTGTTCACAAGACAGAGCTTATGGAGGTGTCGATTGATGGTACCTTGTGAAGGTACAAGTTCTACTGACAACAAATGAGTGCTTATGATTGGCTTTGGT